GAAATTTTTTTTTTTACAAATATAATATCTACTATATTAGATATAGTAAATGTTTTTATTTGTAGTAAATTATATTATTTTATATTATTAAAAAATATATTAAAAAACATTAAATCTTTCTTTCTATATACTGTATATATATATATATAGAGAGAGAATTGAAGCTGAAAAAATTAAACAAATATTCAACATATAATTATAGTCCCTGCAGAATCATATTTAAACAAATATAATAAAATATTGTTACATTTTAAAAAAATGTATAAATTGCGCAAAAAATATTAATCAAATGTTCAAATGAGGTTGAAAAAAATGAAAATGTATCATTAGTTACGTAGAAAGTGCAGAATTTTAATAGATTAATAAATAAATAAGAAAATATAATAAATATTATATGTGACCCTGGAGCACAAAACCAGTCATAAGGGTCAATTTTTTTAAAATTAAGATTTATGCATCATCTGAAAGCTGAATAAATAAATAATTGTTAGGATAGGACAATATTTGGCTGAGATACAACTATTTGAAAATCTGGAATCTGAGGGTGCAAAAAAAATCTAAATATTGAAAAAATCATCTTTAAAGTTGTCCAAATGAAGTTCTTAGCAATGCATATTACTAATCAAAAATTAAGTTTTGATATATTTACGGTAGGAAATTTACAAAATATCTTCATGGAACATGATCTTTACTTAATATTCTAATGATTTTTGGCATAAAAGAAAAATCTATAATTTTGACCCATACAATGTATTGTTGGCTATTGCTACAAATATACCCCAGAGACTTAAGACTGCTTTTGTGCTCCAGGGTCACATATTAGATATATATATTTTATATATATATTATAATTGCTATTATTATTATATTATGTAGTGTTGTCAGGCTTTACAATTTATACCAGGGTTTTACACAATAAAATTAATCAAACTTAAAAATGATATATTTTGTTTATATTTTTGTATTCATTAAATATTTGTAATATTTTTAATTGATAACGACAGTTGTGTCTTTGTGTAGTGGTGGGTTGAATATATTTCTTTATCTGCGGTCTGTAGTGTATAGAGAAGCTTTTCTGTGTGTTCATCTGAAGCCCTGTGTTAGTTAGTTAGTTGTTGGTCTTTAACCGGATCTCACCTACTCTACGAAGCGCTGCCGGGGGAAGGAGGAGGGAAAGGAGGCCCTCTTCAGGAAGAGGAAAGTACTGCACCTGGTGTCTCAGTGGAGCACGCTGTACAAGGACTTCCTGCGAGAGGAGGAGAACATCAAGCCCTTCATGCAGGTCAGAACACTAGACTAACATTAGATTTAATGTATGACAGACCGGTTTTCTGTGGAATCTGTGTGGAAGTGTTATAGACATGATTTGAGAACAGTGTCTGTCTGTCTGTCTGTCTGTCTGTCTATCTGTCTATCTGTCTGTCTATCTGTCTGTCTGTCTGTCTATCTGTCTGTCTGTCTGTCTGTCTGTCTGTCTGTCTGTCTGTCTGTCTATCTGTCTGTCTGTATGTCTGTCTGTCTGCTGCTGGGTTGTTTTTAAAGGCGATCATCTGATGTGTGCTTTCAAAAGTGGATTATGATTTCTAGAAGGCAACATGTGCAATTGCTAATGTACTGCTGATAGTTTAATATAAGCAAAGATATGTAAAATGAACATGTATTACAAAATATTTATTCAAAATTTTAAAAAATCATATTTATATTTTTACATTTATTGAATATTTGGTAACACTTTAGGGACCAATTCTAACCATTAACTAGTTAGCATGCCTATTAATAACATATTGTCTGTTTATTAGTACTTATGAAGCACATATTCTGCATGAGCATATTCTACATCCCTAATTCTGCACTTAATAACTACCTGACTAACTATTAATAAGCAGCAAATTAGGGGTTTATTGAGGCAAAATTCGTTGTTAATGCAAGAATTGGACCTTTAAATAAAGTGTGACCTAATGTTTAAAATTTTTGCGCAAGTCTGTAAGTAAAAATTATATTTCATATTTATGTATTATTTTAATATTTTCAAACATTTTTGTTTAGGACTGTCAGTGAAATGTATATATTATTGTAATATTTGTATCTTTTTTATTCGAGACTATCAGTGAAATTTCTATAAATATTTTACACAAAATTATATATATTTACGTATTTATTTTTATATAATATTTTACATTTTTAAATATTTTTGCTGGTACTTTACACAATATTTACTCAAAATATATTTTAACATTTATTTTTGTATTATTTTAATATTTGTAATTATTTTAATTCAAGACCGTCAGTACATTTTTCACTCAAATATAAAAATATTATATATTTCTATATTATTTTTTTGAAAAATTATTTGTAACTATTTTACTTCAAGACTGTCAGTAAAATTTTTACTGGTATTTTACATAATATTTATTCAAAATATAAAAATATTATATT